CAGTAAAATAGTTGTGTATCTATCATATAAAACAGTAAAATAGTTGTGTATCTATCATATAAAACAGTAAAATAGTTGTGTATCTATCATATAAAACAGTAAAATAGTTGTGTATCTATCATATAAAACAGTAAAATAGTTGTGTATCTATCATATAAAACAGTGAAATAGTTGTGCATCTATCATATAAAACAGTGAAATATTTGTGTATCTATCACATAAAACAGTGAAATAGTTGTGCATCTATCATATAAAACAGTGAAATATTTGTGTATCTATCATATAAAACAGTAAAATATAACAAATTTTACATAAAAAAAGTAAAACAGTTCCTTTTTTATTGATATTTTACTTTTATAACCAACTCTCTTGGAACATTTTTTCCCCAGTTGGCCTGGCTGGATGGAGAAGGTAACGTGGTCGCTCAGGGTATAGAATTTACCACACAACAGTTAGGCGATAATAAGAGAGCCAACGCTGCCCTTACGTGGACATTTAAACCAAGCCGAGAGCATGATGGGAAGACGTTTTCATGTCGGTCTGAAAATCCTGCTTTAAAACAACCTATTGTGACATCAATAAAACTTGCAGTAAAATGTAATTCTGATATATATACATATTTTACTATATTAGTGCTGTGATTTCTCATTTACATGCATAATGATTTCTATAAATAGAAACTGCAACTGAATATAAATAATAAAATTTACTGGCTATTGTATTTTAGATATTACTCGTTAGTCCAGCATGATCGCCGTTGTTTGCATAATTATTTTATCAGTAAATATTTCGGTTATAAGTAGTCATTAGATTTACTGGTTATTGACGTACATATTCCTAAATATAAGCCAAGGGCTGTGTCAGTAACATCTATAACAACTTTTAAATTTCATTTGTTTCTTTATGTATTTCGTGTCAACACTCTATTTCATCCAGTAGCAAACTAATCCAGGTATAGATCTAAAAGTCCGTATTTGGTATGTATGCTAGAATCATCCCAACTCACTTTGATGGATATAAGTAGGGTTAACACAAATCCCTTCTATTTCTAGTTAGTATAGATCTAAAAGTACTTATTTGGTATGTATGCTAGAATCATCCCAACTCACTCTGATGGATATAAGTAGGGTTAACGCAAGTCTTTTCTATTTCTAGTTAGTATAGATCTAAAAGTACTTATTTGGTATGTATACTAGAATCATCCCAACTCACTCTGATGGATATAAGTAGGGTTAACACAAGTCTTTTCTATTTCTAGTTAGTATAGATCTAAAAGTACTTATTTGGTATGTATACTAGAATCATCCCAACTCACTCTGATGGATATAAGTAGGGTTAACGCAAATCCCTTCTATTTCTAGTTAGTATAGATCTAAAAGTACTTATTTGGTATGTAT